TCTACAACTCTACCTCATGGTGTTTCATTAATAAAAATTTTTTAAAAAAAGAATTAATTGCTTTTTTTCCTTTCCTTTTTGGGCCACACCCGGTGATGCACAGGGGTTACTCCTGGCTCATGCACTCAGGAATTACTCCTGGCAGTGCTCGGAGGACCATATGGGATGCTGAGAATCAAATCCAGGTTGGCCATCTGTGCTATTGCTCCAGCTCCTTAATTGCTTTTCTTTACAACAATAGTGAAACATCTGAAAAAGGAAAAAAAAAAACTATTCTGTTCACAGTAGCACTAAAAATAAGAAACTCCCTAGGAGTACATTTGACCAAGGAAGTAAAAGATTTTCAGAAACAAAAAAATTATAGTTCTTTCCTCAAAGAAATCAAGTGGATCCCATGTATAATGGACTGAAAGGGAGGAAATAAATATTCTGGGAATATTTATGAGATATCACATAAACCAAGTCATCATCACAATCAATCAATCACAATCACAACCATCCTGTTATTCGTCGATTGCCTCGAGCAGGCCTCAGTAACATCTCTTTGTCCTAGCCCTGAGATTTTTTTTAAAAAGTGCCATATTCAAGGCTCTTTCAGAGTTAGGAGAATGAGACCCTTCATTGTTACTGGTATTTGGCATATTGCGTACGCCACGGGGAGTTTGCCAGATTCTGCCGTGTGGGCAGGTTACATTCGGTAGCCTGGCAGTTTGTCCAAAGTAGGAATGAGATGATAAGATGCCGCGTGGCTGCGAAGTCATCATCATCTAGATTTTAATACAACCCCCACCAAAATACCCAAGGTATTTGTCATAAACTGTCCTGAAATTGTTCTTTCTGTGGTTTGACTATGACACACATAGGTTAGATAATTCATGTTTATCATGAACAAAAGTCTATTCAGTAACTGAATCCATAAATAATATTGAGGAAAATATAGGCAGAACCCATCATAACATTGAATCTAGAGGCATCTTTAGTGATTCAATGCCACTGGCCTAGCAAATAGAAGAAAAAAAAATTTTTATTATGTAGGAGTACTGCTATTTAGTCAACCACTGATTAGCTGATTGAATTGGGCATGAACTCCACCTTACTTTTTTTTTCATAATTTTATTTATTTATTTTTCTTCTTATATTTATTTATTGAATCACTGTGGGAAAATTTATTAAGATTTCAGGTTTAAGTCTCAGTCATACAATGATCAAACACCACTCCCTTCACCAGTAATCATTTTTCACCACCAAGAACCCCAATATATCCCCCCTCCCACCCCTCCCAATGCCTGTGAGGCAGATGATTTCTACTTAACTCTTCTCTACATTTATCACATTCATCATTTCGACAAAAGGTGCACCATTGTTGTTTAGAATTTCCCCCCCAACAATCAGAATTGCTGAAAAGGCTTTGTAAAATACTTTGTTTTCTATAGCTGGTTATGAGAATCATATAATGTCATGCGGCTGCGATTTTGGATTTCTGCAAAGAGCCAGATAATTACGAGATTGGTTTCTGTGCGTCTGGTGTTATGGCTGTGCCAGAGAGCCGCTTGGGGGGATTGGGGGGACAACTCGTAACCTCGGTAGGGCGTGAAGGACAAGCCTGTACCGTCACCCTTCCCATGAGAATGCAGTTGTCCCATCACCGCCGGCTCATACCTGGCTTGCCTATAAACTCTGAGATGGCAGCCACCTTGCTGCCAGGAGGGAAAAAGGTGGAAGGGAGCAACACCCTTTCCCTCCCGGGGAGGCATGATGTCGTAGTTTAACGCATGGTCCATTCACTTTTCTGCCGCAAGCTGCCGGGATCTGGATTAAGTTCTTTTGCTCTGGAGCCATGGACATGCTGGCTCTGGATTAAGTCCTTTTGCTCTGGAGCCATGGAGCTTGTTGGAGGCAACTCGTGACCTCGGTAGGACGTGAAAGACGAGTCGGTACCGCCCCCCCTTCCCATGACCCTCATCACCACCGCTGGCTCATACCTGGCTTTCTAATAAGCTCTGAGGTGGCGGCCAACTTGTATGTGGTCCAGATGCATTTCTGCCAAAGGCCCTACCTGCTGTGCTATCGCTCCTTCCCTGGTCAAATATGAAACAATCCTAATGTCCAAAGACAGATAAGTGTGTGTAGAAGTGATTGACATGCACAGTGGAACAATATCCAGATACAAGAAAAGAAAACCTTGTTTTTTCCTTCTATTTGAATTGAAATAGAGTGTGTCATGGTAAGCAAAATAAGGCAGTGGGAGAAGGATTGATAACATATAATTTTACTCATGTAGTAGCACTGTGGGCTGGAGCGATAGCACAGGGGTAGGGCATTTGCCTTGCACACAGCCAACATGGCCGACCCGAGTTCGATTCCTCCGCCCCTCTCGGAGAGCCCGGCAAGCTACCGAGAGTATCTCGCCCGCACGGCAAAGCCTGGCAAGCTACCCGTGGCATATTCGATATGCCAAACACAGTAACAACAAAGTCTCCAATGGAGACGTTACTGGGCCCGCTCGAGCAAATCGATGAACAACGGGAGGACAGTGACAGTGACAGTGAGTAGCACTGTAGCACTGTATTCCCATTGTTCATTGGTTTGCTCAAGCAGGCACCAGTAACGTCGCCATTGTGAGACTTGTTGTTACTGTTTTTGGCATATTGAATATGCCACGGGGAGCTTTCCAGGCTCTGCAGTGCAGGCGGGATACTCTCGGTAGCTTGCCAGGCTCTCCAAGAGGGATAAAGGAATCGAACGCATGCAAGGCAAATGCCCTACCCGCTGTGCTATAGCTCCATGGCCTGGTATGGTCCAAAAACAAAAACAAAAACAAAGGTAAACCATGCATCTAAATATTGAATTGTAAAAACTCAAGGAGATAGTACCAACTCATGCGGTACATAAGGAAATAAAACAAGGGAATGGGCAATATCTAATGAAATCAATCTGTGGGACCTCAACTATAGAAATGAATTTTGATTAAGTTGGAAAGGGTAAACAAGAGAGAAGAGGTAGATTGGAAGTGACATAAGGACTGTACTGCAGGGTCACTGGAACTTTGATAGTGATGGAATTGAGGTAATTTTGTACATTAAAAGGGACTCCTGACCAGGTATGTTTGGGGAATTATGTAGTGCAGGGATTTGAACCTGACTAGGTATACAAAGGATAAAATTGTGCTTGGAAAAATAAGTATGAAAATTTACGTGATAGATATTGCTTTTTGATCACCAACTATTTTAGTGTGAACAGAGGTCAATGTGTACAAAGTGAGATAGATAACAAGCAGGAATGAAGAATGCCAACTAAGGATAACAGGATGAATGAAAAGTGGTTAAAGATATTGATAATCACATAAGCCTTTTGTTTAGAAATGCTGTTCTAGAGGTATATAAAGCACCACCAAATCCTTTGACTTTTTGATTATTTCGTATAAAAGAATACTAGTAAATGATTTTTTTCTAATAATTATTTGAGTTAAGAGATAAGCATAGTTGGCTATCTAATTCCAGTTTTGGTCTTAAATAATAAGCAATCAGTATGTTAAAGTCACCTTTACAGTTTATTTATATATTTTCCATACATTTTGTAGGTAATTAGAATTATCTTTATTATCTGAATACAGTTAACATGGTTCACACTGAAATTTTTTAACACTTAAAAAAATTGAATCACCATAAGCTACTCATCATACTGAACTTTTAATAATTTGGGTTAGTTATATTACTTTGGTGGCTGGTATGATAAGACTGGGAATATACTGATATGTGGAAATCTTGTGAATATAACTAATATTAATATGTATTAATATATTTTACATTTTCTTGAAGATATAATTTTAAAATTCAAGACATTTGAGAATTTTTGTACTTAAAAATTTATTGGTTCAATTAGATTATCTTTTTCATCCATAATGTCTAAAAAAAAGTAAAAATTGGATATAAAATTTCTACATATAGGTGGTATGACAAGTAATCGCTCCAGCCCATATAATTATATATATATTTATTTATATGAGGCATGCATGCAGTTTATATAAGGCATGAATGCTTGCATGCAGTTGATCTGGGTTCAATCCCGGCACACAATATTTTCCCCTGATCTTGTTTAGGAGTGAACCTTGAATACAAAGCCAGGAGTAAGCCCTGGTACACCAACAAGTTTAATTAAGTAAAGCCAAGTATGCTGTAGGGCCTTTGTCTTCTGCGTGGGTCCCTTGGCTGAGCCGGGTTTGATTCCTCCGCCCATCTCATAGAGCCTGCAAGCTACGGAGAATATCTCATGCCTGGCAAAGCCTGGCAAGCTACCCATGACATATTTGATATGCCAAGCACAGTAACAAGTCTCACAACGGAGATGATACTGCACCCCTTGAGCAAAGTGATGAACAATGGGAGGACAGTGCTACCACGCTACTTTTCTATAGCTTAAAGAAATTATGGGTGGAGGGGACTCAGGTGTAAAACACACACACACACACACACACACACACACACACACACACACACAGCATTGATGATACTGCACCCGCTTGAGCAAATTGATGAACAATGGGAGGACAGTGCTACCGCGCTACTTTTCTACAGCTCAAAGAAATTATGGGTGGAGGGGACTCAGGTGTAAAACACACACACACACACACACACACACACACACACACACACACACACACACACACACACACACAGAGCATTGCCTCTCAGTTCCCACACAGAAGTCAGTTCTCAGGTTTCGGACCAAGTGATATGCTAAGGGTCCGATTGGCTGCGCCCAGGAAGACGGACAGAGGCTTCAGCAAATCACAAATCTAGGATCTTCCTTTCTCCGGGACCGTCTTTGTAGTCCTAGCAACCCCCGGTAAGCTTTGTTTATCTAAAAGGAATTGGCCTGGGGTTGCTATGGAGATAAGACGCGGCAACTAGCAAAGTAACTAGCATCCAGAAACTGATCAACGCTCAATAAATCACCTAGCTGGCCTTTCCCCCTTTACATCTGCACCACACTTCTTCCAGAATTCTACCCCTGCTCCTCATTTCATGGAAGACTCAAGTTCCCTGAAACAAGAGATAGAAAACCATGAAGATCAAAAGGCAGGTCCCCTCTGGGAAAATACAGCCACTGTTTCTTCCGAAGAACCGGAGCCAGAGTTTCCTGAACCTTCAGAGTCAGAGTTGCAGGAGCCTGAAACTGCACCTCAACCCAGTAGCTCCCCTCCTTCAAACCTGAGCCCTCAGTCTGGAACTGGCATGTCTTTGCATGACCCCACAGGACCAAGACCACCATCTCTACCATGGCCATCTCAGGAACCTTCTACTTCACCAATAGTTCCGGCAAGACTGGACCTTGCAGCACTATCCCCAGCACATTCATACAAGGATGTACACATGATTCCAGAGGCTGGGACACCTCACTCCTCCTCCAACAACCGGCAACATTCACCTGACGAGCTCGAGGGAAATGCTTCTCAACTGTCTCAGCAACCTGAACTGCGCCAACATGAACAGAGCAGTTACACACACAAAGAACTTAAATTTGATATTCTTCCGGTGGAAGACTCAGGCAGCAACTGTGATCCTAGCCTGCCTGAGGATGGAGTCTCTGAAGTGGCTCCTAGCATGTATGAGATTGCTGTTCAGAATGCTAAAGCTTATCTACTGAAGACCAGCAACAAGTCAGGCTTAAATCTGTAAGTCTCAGGAAAAAAGCCTAGGAAAGACAAGGGGTATGAGTCTGTCTGGATAAAAGTGTATTTCTGTGGGTGAATGAAATGTATTTGAAAATACTGTACTAGCAAAAGAGTGATAAAATAACCTTTTGCAGCATCAAACTGAAGATAATAATAATAATATCTGGTAATAATCTCTTGGAGGCTTTAAAGATCCTGGCACAAATAAATCTAGAAACTAAGGAGTCATGAGTTTGATTAAAAATCATAAATATAGTGAAAGTTAAGCATCTCTCCAAAAGAGTTGTGAAAAGTAATGAATTCATCTACCAGTGATAGCATACACATGCCTTTACAGAGAGATGGCTCAAATTTTAGTTTTGCATTCACACTCAGGTTAATGCTGAAATGACCATTTCTGTCAGTTAGCCTGGAACTTCCCTGCTTAAGCACTGACAGTACTCCATCCTCGGTGCTGGTTAGATTAGGATAATCAGTCCCTGTAGAGGGTGCAGGAGGTCATGATGTTTTATACAGATCTCTGTATACAGATCTCATATATATGCACACATGCTTACACACCTATATTATATGTATGTGTATACTTAAAATGTGATATCCAATGGCCCAGGTATGTTTCTGGCCAAACCCTTTTAGTTCAAATTTCTGAATTTAAGATTGAATAGATGTATATTGACAATATATATGACTCAATATCTAGAAATGTATATACACACATTTCTAGATATTCTTGTTTCTATAATATAGGGTCAACAGAATTTGGGGATAAAAGCTATTTAGAAAACATCCAATACTTATTTGCACAAGAATCAGTTTGCACAAGATTTCACTGTCTCACACTCCTCTGATTCTTACCTATTTCTCACCATTATGTTTCAGTCACAATCTGCCCATTTCCCTTATAGTCTTGTCCAAGGATTCTTCCCTAAATCTTTGAGTGACTGGTTCCTCATCCATACAATTTTACTATAACACCCTTTTCTTTCCTTTTATAGAACTAAATGCCACTTAAAATCTGATATATAGGTATAGACCTATATTTAAAAGTCTCCTACTAGTTGGCCATTACAATGGCAGATCCTTTGTGTGCTATGAGTTTTATAACCCCACTAGCACACTTAATACAGTACTTAGCACAGTACATCAGCTATTAATTAGAGAGTAGATTAATGAATAGCAACATAAAGGAAATACAATCCTGACCCTCTGAATCTAGTTCAGTCCTCATAATCTGCTGAGGTACCTACTAAGTAGTCAGTAAACACAACTGAACATACAATATATGGCAAATATTAAGTGCAAGTATATCCCCTTTAAAAAAATCCCCATTTCTAAAACTTATTAGTAGCTAGGTTTAGAAATAGGGAAATGTTGAGGTCTGAAAAAAATTTTAATGTTAATATTTATTTATTTTGGGGTGGGGCTTCCCTGGAAGTACTCTGGCTCCACAGGCAACTTATAGCCAACCAGGCCTGAAGTTCAAGACAAGTCCCAAGGATGTGATACTGTTTGGGTCCTGCAGTGCTGTTACTTGGGATGTCCAAGTTACCCGGTGGTGCTGAGAATTGAAGCCAGATCAGGTGCATGCCAAGTAGCACTGTCCTCCCATTGTTCATCAATTTGCTCGAATGGGCCCAGTAACGTCTCCATTGTGAGACTTGTTGTTACTGTGTTTGGCATATCGAATATGTTACGGGTAGCTTGCCAGGCTTTGCCATGCGGGCGAGATACCCTTGGTGGCTTGCTGGGCTCTCTGAGAGGGGCGGAGGAATCGAACGCAGGTTGGCCAGGTTGACCGCGTGCAAGGCAAACTCCCTACGCGCTGTACTATCGCATGCCAAGTATTTGTCCTAATAAGAAATTCCTCACAAAACTTAAAGTTGACAATTTGAAATATTATTTATAAATTATTGCTTTCAAATTCAATTTGCTTAAGCTTAAAGGATATGATATGCTACTTAATACTGGGTTCTACTTGAATTTATATTATAAACATTTCATCATAATGCACCAGGTTAAATTAAAAGCTAAATTTACAAAATTTGTTAAATTTCCAAAGAGCTCATTATAAGCACTTAAGAGTCCTTTAACAATTCAAAACTCTACATGAAAGCAAAAAAATGAAGAAATTTTCCCTTCTGAGTTCTGTTACCACTTAACATCACTTACATACCTAAATTTAATTTCAAATGTTAAGCCCTGGTAGTCATAAATATCTTCCTGGGTATTTACTCTTATCTTTTGATACTTTAGAATCTGCAGTTAAAACTTGTTTAATAAATAATGACTTTAACTTCTTTTTAATATAAATGTCTAATTTAATAACCATGAAAGGTATATATGATCTTTTTCTCAAAAGAGCACAGTCTCTGATACTGATTTATATAATGTTGAACACAACACTTACAGAAAATAATTACTTCTTTTTTTATTAATACTGACATTTTTAAAAAAGAATAACAATATTTTAGGAAGTAATTGTGCTCTTTTTTGCATTTTTCAAATTTTATTAAAGCACCGTGGTTTGCAAACTTATTCATAGTTGAGTTTTAGACATACAATATTACATCACTGATACCACCACCAGTGTAAACTTCCCTCTGCCAATGTTCCCACGCTTTCTCCAGATCCTCTGTTCACTTCCAGTCTTCCCTCTTGACAGGCACCTTTCCAAGTTCTGTTGTTAAAGTTTGAGTCTTTTGATTTCACTGTTGTTGACTCTGTGCTTTGGATATTTGGCCCTGTCATTCCTTAACACCACCTTTGTGCCTTACTCTCCTAGGACTAGCCCCATTGCTTCTCATCTGTCTCTTCTCTCCTTCCCCTTCACTCTTTTCCTTCTCCTCCCTATACTCTGGGGCTAAGGTTGATCTGAGAATCCTTTCTTTTAAACCTTGCATTCCCTCATCTAGTTATTCCAAATATCACATATATGTGATATCGTCCTGTGCTTATCCTTCCTACACTGGATCATCTTCTGACTTCATTTAACACAATGTCTTCAAGTTCCATCCATGTTGTGGTGAATTGCACAATTTCATCAATAATATGTATTCTTAATATATAGTTAAATAGCTATTCATATTGTTTACTCATATAACCTATATATTTTTCATATAGATATAGATGTATATATAGGAGCTGCAGCCACTGGTGCTAGGAGTGAGTACAGAGGGTATCCTGGGGTTCACTCCCAGTAATGTTCAGTTTGTGGTGTGAACTGGATAGTTTAGTGGTCAGAGACCACAAAGGTAATGCCAAGTCATCCTGAGGCAGGGTAGAAGTGTGTGTGATGACAGAGATCAGATTTAGGACTTCACTCATGTTAGGCACATGCTTTACCACGAGGATATTGCTGGTCTTCTAGACATTTTTCAGCATCCCTATATCTGTTAGGGACATATTGATATTGGAAAACAACACATTAGGGTTAATTAAAATAAACTGGCAACTATAGTGCATCAATTTTATTTCATGATGGTAAGGAAGTAGACACAGTAAACACAACAACAACCAAACAGAAAAGAAAATCTCATTTAAACCATGGAAGAAAAAATTGCAGCTGCTGAATGGTGTGTACAATACAAAGAAATTTGTCTGTGATCTCAGAGAAGTTAACCCTAACCCCTGGAGGAGAGCTTTTCAGAAATAACTCGAGTGGTAAGGTATTGATGACAAAACGGATTCAGGATTATTAAAAAAAATTCTGAGAAAACATATTATATATTTGTGGGACACAGCTGGAAATGACTTGTAGGTACAACTTCTCAACGACTGAAAATAAATTTTAGTAAGTTTATCTTACTAGCAAAATTCTAATTGAGTTTATTAATTGTTAGAAATGAAATTGTAGAAATATACATGTACAAGAGAGGCAATTTATGGAAGTTTTACATTGAACAGAGGAATTGCTGTTTAACCTCAGAACAATAATTTCACACACTTTTGACTATTACAAAGTAAACTTATGTTGTAAATCTGGTATTTTATTTATATATATTTTTTAGTTTTGCGGTCACATTTGGTGATGCTCAGGGGTTACTCCTGGCTGTGTGTTCACGAATCACTCCTGGTGGTGTTCGGGGGACCATATAGGACGTTAAGGTTCAAACCTGGGTTGGCCACATATAAGCAAGCACCTTACCTGTTGTCACTTGGCCCCAAATCTGGTATTTGAAAAAGCACACTCTACTAGTACAATATAAAATGTAATGAATTAATATAATATTAGAATGAATTTTACTATTTGAGTTATAAAATAAAAAACTAGGGCACTCTTTGTAAGTTGTGGACTGAATAATATGCTACATGACATTTAGGAGAAGTGAGAAATATTTATGAAAACTTTCAGTAGACGGTAGTTAGTAGTTGCAATATGGCATGTATTTCTTATAAATTGAATAAATTCTGAATAAAAATTGGTTTAGGAATAAAAAAGGAAGAGCATTAATCTTTAAAGGATTGATAGGATTTAGAAGTCAAATAGTGTTTGGGGAGGGTGGAGGAAGAGGGGAATAAAAAGAAGTTAAGGTAAAAGAATGAATAGGAAGGATAATCACCTTTATATAATCATGAGATCTGAGACTCATAAAATATAAGAATTTACATGCGGTAGAACACATACCTTTCTATGTTTTTATGTAGTAAGTTAAACAGTGATAACTTATTTGAAACATTTTCTAACTAAAATTCTGGACTAATTATTTTGACAGTGGTAGAAGTTACTATAAATGTTTATCCACTTAAATTTTCTGAAAGCTTCCAGTTTTAAAGCTTCCTAGAACTCAACTTAGTCTGCATGAAAAAAATTTCAAATAATTTTGATCCAAAAATTGTCTCAAATATATATTTGGCTAGATATGATCATCTTTCTAATATGCTGACCAAGATCTTAGATGAACGTCCTGAAAATGCTGTAGACATCTTTGAAAATATTAGCCAAGATGTGAAGATGGCACATTTTAGTAAAAAATTAGATACACTTCAAAATGAGAATGAGATGCTTCCAGCTTATGAAATAGCAGAGAAGCAAAAGGCCCTTTTTCTCCAAGGAAATTTGGAAGGAGCTGACCAAGAACTAGAAGATGAAATAGTAAGTCACTGATGTTATTTTGAATAGTTTAACTTCGGAATGTTGCCTTTTTTTCCTCAGGTGAATGGTATGTGGCTTTTAATCCTAATGAAAGTTGTAGAAGGATACTCACAAGTTGGTGGAAAATATGGTTAGAAACATTGCAGTATAATATAATATAATATAATATGGAATATAATATAATAAATATAATATAAATAAAAATCAAAAATAAGAAAAATGAACAAATTCATAACAACTACCTTTCATAATTTCCTAAACAATATTCACAACTTCAATTCACGCTATTTTTTCTTTGTTTGGAATTTCATATTTTTTTCTTATTATGTTTGATATTTCATAGATTTAGCTTCTTTTATATCTTTGTGGGATAAGCTCAAGAAAATAAAGGGGCAACCTAAACGTTTTTATAGTACATGTATGTCAAATATTACTTGTCATGTTACTAAAATATCTAAAATACACTCATACAAGATAAGACATCGAGTTGTGTGAATCAGTTGAATCTAGTTATAAGTAATAATAATTGCTGTTCAGAAGTTATTAGAGTTTGATATAAGACTCTTTTCCTCCTCTGGGGATGAGGATGGGGTAGGAGGTCATAACTTAAGTTTTGAAAGAAATGTTCAAAAACTAATGGGTAAATGGGTAAAGTAGAGTAAGTAGAAAAGCAAGCAGTTATCTTATGCATAAAACATTAACAAAAGCATTTGTATCCCCAGGCAGAATCGCCTCTTCCAAATGTAATGGAATCAGCCTTTTATTTTGAACAAGCTGGAGTTGGTTTGGGCACAGATGAGACTTACCGAATTTTTCTTGCCCTCAAGCAGCTTACTGACACACACCCCATCCAAAAATGCCGGTTCTGGGGAAAGATCTTGGGACTGGAAATGAATTACATTATAGCTGAAGTGGAATTTCGGGAGGGAGATGAAGAGGAGGTGGAAGAGGAAGATGTAGTTGAAGAGAGAGACAATGGAGATAGTGAAGCTGATGAAGATAATGAAGATGAATTACCAAGGTCATTTTATAAGCCCCCACAAGCTATCCCCAAAGAAGAAAACAGAACAGGTGCCAACAAATATGCTTATTTTGTTTGTAACGAACCAGGAAGACCCTGGGTGAAATTACCATCAGTTACACCTGCACAAATTGTTATTGCAAGAAAAATCAAGAAGTTTTTCACTGGGCAGTTAGACAGTCCCATTATAAGCTATCCGCCATTCCCAGGGAATGAAAGTAATTACTTACGAGCACAAATTGCCAGAATTTCAGCAGGGACCCATGTCAGCCCTCTAGGATTCTATCAGTTTGGTGAAGAAGAAGGGGAGGAAGAGGAAGAAGTTGAAGGTGGAAGAGATAGCTTTGAAGAAAACCCAGAATTTGAAGGCATCCCAGTGATTGATCTAGTGGAATCCCTATCCAATTGGGTTCATCACGTACAGCATATTCTCCCACAGGTAAGGGCTATGCAGATCTTAACTCATCAGCCACTTAGCAATTACTTATTAAAGTCTCTCTGTGCAAAACAGTGCAAAATATATGTACAAAACAAAGTCCTCTAGACTTTAGACTAGTTGTGGTGAATGACCTTGAAATCTTGTGACCTGAGCCTGGAGCATAATGGAAAATTATACTTGCTTCTCATGACTGCCAATTTTATGTTATCTCTGAAGGATGTTATAAATATCCAAAAGGTTCTTCAAGTAAGGAAGGCTACACACTCCTGCTGAGACAGAGAAAGATCAGTTAAAAAAAATCAGATAGTGGCTGGAGCTTTAGTACAGTGGATAGTATGTTTTTCCTGCACGTGGATCCCTGGCACCTTATCTGCTTTTCTCAGCCCACAGGAGTAATTTCTGAGCATAGAGTCAGGAGTAAGCTCTGGTCACAGCCGGGTATGAGCCATTCTCCCTCCCATAACGAAAATAAACAAGATCTGGGGGGATAGTTCAAGTGGTAAGATACTATTCCTAGTATGAGAAAAGCCATGAGTTTGATCACTGCTAATACTTTACATTCTGGGCATTTACCAAATGCTATTCTGGCAGACGCCAGCTAATACCAGGAGTAGCCCTTAGTGGATCTGGCTACTGTTGGTCTGCCCAAGCAACCCCAAAGTGGTCCTGCACTTGCTTCCAGCATCACTAGTTTGGTCCCTACTAAAATGTATTTCAGAGTAATATATAATTTCCAGGGCTGGATCGATAGCAGAGTGGGCAGGGCATTTGCCTTACGTGCAGCCGACCTGGCCAACCTGGGTTCGATTCCTCTGCCCCTCTCGGAGAGCCTGGCAAGCTATCGAGAGTATCTTGCCCGCATGGCAAAGCCTGGCAAGTACCCATGATGTATTTGATATGCCAAACATAGTAACAACAAGTCTCACAATGGAGACGTTACTGGGCCCGAGCAAATTGATGAACAACAGGAGGACAGTTCTACAGTGCTATAATTTCCAGGTATTATAGACTTGTTGGGCTGGAGCGATAGCACAGCAGGCAAGGCGTTTGCCTTGCATGCAACCAACATAGCCGACCTGAGTTCGATTCCTCCACCCCTCTCGGAGAGCCTGGCAAACTACCGAGAGTATCTTGCTCGCACGGCAGAGCCTGGCAAGCTACCCGTGACGTATTCAATATGTCAAATACAGCAACAACAAGTATCAAGATGGAGACGTTACTGGGCCTGCTCGAGCAAATCGATGAACAACGGGAGGACAGTGACAGTGATAGACTTATGATAGACTCTTCAAACAAAATGTAATATTTCTATAGACTACTTAACACTTTATGAAAAATTTGAGATTTACAAGTCCTGTAAAATTTTATTACATATAGAATGGTGCATTAATTTGGGACTCCCCCTGTCATTTTTATTGAAGTACTATGATTTACAATAGTTTTAATGATAGTTCTACACATATACAGCACTACACCTACCACCAAAGTAACCTCTTCCTTCCACCAATGTCCCAATGACCCTTCCTATCCCTTCAAGAAAAACTCAATTCTGTGGATAGACCCAACTCTCCAGTTCTGTTGCCTTTGACCATTTGTTGCTATTTTACTGTATTCCTTTATATTTCACTCAATAGAGGAACCATTATGCATCTGTCCTTCTTCAACTTTACTTTACTTAGCATAATACTTTCTAATATGACATGATTTCATCTTTTATTATAGTTGAGTGTTACTCCATTGTGTATGTAAACTATAATTTCTTTATCTAGCCATCTGTTCTTTGGCACATCTGTTCTGGTTGTTTCCAGATCTTGGCTACTGTGAATAGTGCTGTGAATGAACATAGGAGGGAAAATATCTTTTTGAAATATTTTTGAATATTTTTGAATCCTTGGGCTATATTTTGAGAAGTGGAATTGCTGGGTCATCTTGAAAACTCAACTTTTAGTTTTTCTTAGAAGTATCCATATTGTTTTCCAGAGAATAAACCAATTGACAGTTCCATCAGTAGGTGATAGTTTCTTTTTCTCTACTTACATGCCAACACTGATTTTTTTGTGCCAATATCACTGGCAATATCTCATTGTTTAAAAAAATTTAATTTCCCTTATAAGTAACAGAGTTCATTTTTCATAAATCTCTTGGCCATCTATAGATCTTCATAAGGATATGTCTCTTCATCTTTGTTTTTTTTTGTTGTTGTTTTACAAATACTTTATATATCTTAGATACTTCTTTTGTCAAATAAGTGGTAGGTAAATATTTTTTCCATTCTATAGGGTGTATTTTTATTTTTATCATTGTTTCTTTATGGTACATAAGTATATAGCATGCTGTTTACTTATAGAAATACCATGGATTTCTGCATGTTGATATTGCAGACTGTATTTTACTATACAATTTTATTGTGTCTAAGAGTCTTTTGTAGGTTATTTAGGGTTTTCTAAATAGAGTATTATGTCACCTACAAATAATGGTAGTTTGACTTCTTTTCCAGTATGGATTCTCTTGATAACTATTTCTTGTCAAATTTCCATAGCAAGGACTTCCAATGCTATGATGCAAAATGGTGAGAGAAGGAAAACTTACCTTTTGCCTGATCTTTGATGGAAAGCTTTCACTTTTCACAGCTGAGTATTTTATTAGCTGTGGATTCATGGTTAGTGGCTTTAAGTATATAGAGGAAAGTTCCTTCTTTCCCTGTTTTATTGATAGATTTTTAAAAAAATCATAAATGAGCAGTGGATCTTGTCAGATACTTGTTCTGCATCTACATATATATATATATATATATCACATGATTTTCCCCCTTGTATTGATATGGCCTGTCATGTGGATTGGCTTGCAGATACTAAATCATCCTTGTGTTCTTGGGATAAATTCTATTAGGTCATGGTGTATGATTTTTAATGTGCTGTTGGATTTTACTATGAGTATTTTATTGACTCACCTGTATTTTCTTATGTCTCTTAAAGAACTGGTTCCTATTTCTATTCTGGTCATTTTGCTTTCTGGTGATGTTCACCATAATCCTTTCTCCAACATTGTTGCCTGTTCTCTCTCAAGAAGCATTTAAAAAATCTATTTTTCATATGTAGGAAAGGATCTTTTATCCCAGGAATAGAAATAAATATAAAATAAAAAATAAAATAGTATTATATAGGGTATATATATGTGAGTGTGTATACCACTCACATAAGCACTTTTAATAGCATTGTATACATGTTAACACATAAATCTTTGCAAATATATGAAAGACTCATTTTACCCTTATTTTATAGATGAGAAAAATTGAGGCAGAGATTTAGGAAACATATAAAGGGAATACAACTAATGAAAAACAGGATCAGATATGTATGGACATAATAAAGTCTTTCTTGGACATAATAAAGTCCATTCTCTTCATATTTATCCTAATCTGACTCACCTGTAGATATAATGTCTTTATTATATTTTGACTTCTATAAGTTTTTCCCACATATATCTAAATCACAGTTAATTAGATAAAATTATATCCTCAAACCTCCCTAACTAATCTTATTATCATATTTTAAATATTATTATGAACAGTAAGTTTCTTCCCATGTTCATATAAATTTTTTATTATAAATTAGTGAAATTATTATAATAAAAATATTGCCCTTTTAATTAAGATTGTGCTAATTTAAAAATGGAAATTCTCTTTAAATTTAACAAATTTTCATATTTTTGAAATGAAATGGTTCTCTTTTTTGCTTGAAATTGTTTAAATCAAAATAGTACTTATAGTCAAGGGAGATATATCAGGTGGTAGAGAATATGCCTAACTTGCATGTGTGAAGCCCTGAGTTCAATCAGCAGCATTACAGGGCCTCTCCAGAATTGTTGGAAAGGGCTGGGATCCCTGAAACTATACTTAATATGATTCCTATAAAGTTATTCTTAGGTAGCACTTATGATATTAAATGAATGAATGATTAATTAAATTCCTACATAGTATGATTTCTGTCACATATTTACTTGAATCCAAATGAATATTCTGATATTTTAAGGTCATCAGATACTTAATATTGGAATATTCATTGCCAGGGTCGCTGTAATTGGTTCAACCCCAATCAAAAAAATGAGGAGGAGGAAGAAGAAGAATATGAAGAAAAAGAAGAAAAAGGAGAAGAGCCAGACTATACAGAGCAGGAAGTGGGACCACCTCTTTTGACACCAATCTCTGAAGATTTAGGTAAGTATACACAAAATAGGATTGGAGCCAGAGAACAAAGGATAGAGTGCTAGCTTTGCACATGGCCTACCTGGGTTTGATCTACCGCATCCCTTATGGTCCCCTGAGAACCACCAGGAATAATTCCTGAGTTCAAAACCAAAAGTAGTACTCAAGCATTGTGCTAGGTGTGGCCACAAAGCAAAATTTAAAAATTATACAGAAACAATGTACTGTACATAATATATAATGTATAGTGTAAATACTATGTGCATAGCATGTACATATGGAGATATTATATACTACAGCACTATATATCGTATATCTGTATATTCTATAGTAAAAAACATGGGAGAGTTGGAGGCTTCTAAAAAGTAGATAAGAATCAAGGAATCATTCCCTATGTCCATCATAGATTCTGTAATGGTGGGGTATAAAATGTGTAGCTGGCCACACCACCGACTTTCTTTAACAGAAGTTTAAGTAGATACGTGGGAAGAAAATACAAGCTGGCTATAACATACAGGAAATGCTGGCTATGATATTGTATGCAATTTAGGTCTTGCATTTCATAGATGACAAGCACTTGACATTGTCATAGTAAAATATCATTAAAAGTATTTTTAAAAATCTATGCTCTGGATTAAGAGGACTTAATACAGAGCTCTATGCTCTGTATTAAGAGGACTTAATCCAGAGGCCGGCAGTTTGCAGCAGAAAAGTGAATAGACTATGCGTTAAACTATGGTGTGCCATGCCTCCCCTGGAGGGAAAGGGTGTCTGTCCCTTCCACCTCCCCTCCCCCCCAGCCCGGCAGCAAGGTGGCTGCCATCTCAGAGCTTATTGGAAAGCCAGGTGTGAGCCGGTGGTGATGGGGCAACTGCTGCCTCATGGGAAGGGCGGCAGTACTGGCTCATCCTTCACGCTCTACCGAGGTCACGAGTTATCCCCCATGAGCGGCTCTTTGGCACGGCCATGGCTCCAGAGGCACAGAAATCAATCTTGTAATTATCTGGCTATTGGCAAAAATCCCTCCAGACTTAATTAGTAAAATATAAGAAATCCAAAATCCAAAATATCAGACATCATTTGGTTCTCATAACCAGCTATAGAAAACAAATTATTTCACAATGCCTTTTCAGCAGTTCTGATTGTTGGGTAGAAACTCTCAACAATAATGGTGCATCTTTTGTCGAAATAATGAATGTAATCAAAGTAGAGAGAGAGTAAAGTAGAAATCATCTGCCTCACAGGAGAGGTGGGAGGGGGGTATATTGGGGCTCTTGGAGGTGAAAAATAAGTACTGGTGAAGGGAAAAGGTGTTTGAACATTGTATGACCGAGACTTAACCTGAAAGCTTTGTAACTTTTCCCACAGTAATTCAATAAATAAATATAACAAAAAAATCTATGCTTTTCATATTTTTGTTTCTTCACATTTGGCTTATGGCATTTGTTATAAGCTTTGACTTATTTCATAATAGTGATTTATCTTTTATTTGATCATTAAATATTATTTTATTTCCTCTGCCACACAGTTCTTCTCTCCCTTAATAAAATTTCCTTTCTTTGTTCTTGCATAACACACATCAAATATTTGCATTTCCTTGTTCCGAATCATTTAAAAGTAGCTTCCTTATATTTTCTTAAGCTGCTGATGTTTTAATATAATCTTTGCCATGTTTGTGTGTTTTGTGGTCCTCCCAAGCTTTGCATAGGAAGTCTGATCCACTGGCAGTTCTTGACAATGTTGATTTAGCTAAGAAGAATAAGGATGTAATGCAGTGCCAGGAATACCTGGGCCACCCAGAGTTGCTCTGAGGGCCTCCAAGACTGCACTCACTGATAATGTGGGGAATATGTGATGCAGGAAGCAAGCCTTTTTCTGGTGCATGACACGTATAGTCACACATTTTTTGTTTGTTTTTGTTTGGGTTGTTTTTTGGGCAGTATTCGGAGTTATTCCTGTCTCTGAACACAGGAATCACTCTTGGTGGGCTTTGGGGACTATATGGTAAACTGGAGCTCAAACTCAGGTCGGCCACATGTAAGTCATGCATCCTACATGCTGTACTACCGCTCTGAACCCACCTGTTTTTAAGATTTATAAGGGTAGCTTCTCTTTTACACAGCAAATCCTTGTATATTTAGGACCAGTTTTTAGCTTATCTTTGGTTTACAGAGTTCCAGAGTACGCCACCTTGGACAACACGACTATCCTCGAATATCATTCCTCAGTATGCCATTGCAGTGCTGAGATCCAATCTTTGGCCAGGGGCATATGCCTTTTCCAATGGCAAGTAAGTGTCTGGTAAAATCATTATAGCAATTATTTAAATTCTAGAAATGATGCTTCTACTGAAATATTAAGATACATTTCAGGGTTTTTAATTTATTTATTTATTTGTTTTTCCTTTTCTCTTTCTATCCCTTACTTTTAGGGATAGACCCTAGTAGAACCTAGTTCAGGAGTCAGAGAAACTGAAGAGTGACAGACATGGCTGTCTGAGATGGCTGCTCAGCCTTTTATAGTGACTTGGGGAAGATTCCAGTCCAAAATGGGATGATTAAAAGAGTATGTGATATTCCATACAGACTCTTGAAGTTTTGTGAATCTTGGGGACCAGGAAAAGTGAGGGATGACTGAAGGTATAAAATCACCTGATTCAGACTTGGGGGAGATTTTCTTCTAAGATTCCCGCTGTACTGGGGAGGGAGTTGTAAGGGCTCATACATGTCATATAATCTCACGTGTGCCACTTTGGAGGCTCCAAAGTGACTTTTCTCAATCTCTTGATATCCATAAAGAGGCTTTAGGAGAGGTGAGTTTCTGAAAAAGCTCGCTTCTGAGGCCCAAGGAAGAGACTTAAGGAATAAAGGGCATGCAGGTGCTAAATGCAGAGATGGTAAGGAAGATAGTGGGCAAGAGGAACCAAGGTTGACCACAGCTTTCCAAAGAGACCTGTGTACATTGACTACCTGCATTAAATATGGCAGAGAGAGGACAGTTCCCCTCCATACCTTCTCAAAGTGGTCCTGCTACGCCTATTATCATCCTGAAAAATGGCATCGAAGTTTTCAGTAATAGCCTCTCTCCTCACTTAGCCATTGGACAAGTTTTCAACTTTTTTTTTCTAAGGAAGATAGTAACTTTTAGGCTCTTATTTATTATTTTGCAACAGAAGAGTCTGAAATTAATTTACTTGTTTATATGAGTGCCTTTACCAGAAAGCATGACTCAAGATGATAGGGCTTAGAGTAGATACAAAGTGGCAAAGATCAGTATTGAAAGAATCATGGTTTTAGGAAAGAGAGGGATCCTCGGAAAATAGATGGGAAATGTGCTATTTTATTTATTATTTGTGTATTTATTTATTTAGTTGTTGTGAGATACACAGTCACAAAGCTGCTCATGATGGGTTTCAGTCATACTATGTTCCAACACCTATCCCTCCACCAGTGTACATTTCCCACCACCAAAACCACCAATGACGCAGTTTTCTTCCCGCCCACCCACCCATCCCCAGCCTGCCTCTCTCTCTTTCTCTTGCTCTCTTTCTCTCTTTCTTGCTCTTGCGCTCTCTCTCTCGCTCACTCGCTCACTCTCCCACTCTCTCTCCCTCCCTTCCGCCCTCCTTTCCTTTAGGGCATTATGGTTTGCAATACATATACTGAGGAGTTAACATGTTTGTTCCTTTTACCGACTTTCAGCACTAAGTTCTTATCCAGCATGATCATTTCCAACCATCTTTGTTTCATAGAGGTCCCTTCTCCATCCTAACTACCTTTTGGACACAACGGAATACTATGCAACTGTTAGAAAGAATGAAGTCATGAAATTCACTTATAAATGGGTGGACATGGAGAGTATTGTACTAAAATGAGTAAGAAGAAGAGGGACATAGAATGATCACTCCTTTGTGGGATGTACATAAACATAATATGAGGACAGTAGAAACAAGGACCAGGAGGATTGGTCCATGGTTGGAAGTCTTATTTATTTTTAAACTTTATTTAAACACCATTATTTACAAAGTTGTTCACAATATAGTTGTTTCAGGTATTCAGTATTTCAGCACCAGTCCCACTACCAAATTTGCCCTTACCTTCACCAATGTCCCTAGTTTACCAACCGCCCCTTCCCCATACCAAGCCTGTTCCCTTAGCATTGAGACTAATTAATTTACTTTATATTGCATATTGCAACATATATCTCTTAATGGTGTTGCTAAATTCATGGCCTGAGGATTTACAGAGCCGTTAGGTTCAAGTTGGGCCTTCTGATTTATTGTTTTCACTCCTTGAGCATAGATTTCTCCTTAGTTTTCCCATCTAACATTCTTTCTCCTCGGTTGTCAACTTTGAAATTTAAAGGTGTTATGCAACTGCATATTCAAGGGCTTTGAAGCTGGGATGATCAACTTCAGGTGTCTCTCTGGCATTTCTCTAAGATCAGTCCTAAAGCTGGGTAGTTTCTCTGCCAATGAGGGGAGCCAAATATGGATGGATGGAGAACTGGCCCTTTGTGAGGGCTGTAGCCAGGAGTACGGTGGGTAGGACTTGCTTGCATGCAGCTGACCTGGGTCAGCATCCCACGTGCTTCTCTGAGCACTACCAGAAGTAACTCCTGAGTGCAGAGCCAGGAGTAACCCTTGAGCATGCCAAATATGATAACAACCTCCCCCTCCGACTCACACACACACACACACACACACACACACACACACACACACACCATCCTCAACCCACTTCCCATTCCACCGCCTCCCCCCAAAAAAGAACAGGGCTTTTTGTAGAGTGCAGACTTGGTCTGCTCCCATCTCACTTAAGGTTCAGAGTTCTTCTTGTCCAGATGATAGCCAGGCCTTCTTAGTATTACTCAGCTGCCATGGTCTCACTGATATCAGTCATCTCGGCTCTCATTTTTTTAAGTTGTCTTAGTTTTTAGGGAAAACATTAGATGATTAATGACTGTGGTCTGGGTTTAAAGTGACAGATCTGGCCTCATGATTTTCTTCAACAGCTTAAGAAATTGAATTGTGGTGATGTTCATGGTAGAAGAATCACCAAGAAATATTTCAGCATTACCATTTGAAATGTTTTTTTTTTTAAAAAAATTTGGCTATGATTATATCACTAACAATGAAGATCATATTTCTTATTGAAAATTTAATAATCTGCCTTTTCTATCTGTAGAAAGTTTGAAAATTTCTACATAGGCTGGGGTCATAAATATAGTCCAGAAAACTATACACCCCCAGTTCTACCACAAGTTTATCAAGAGTACCCCAGTGGACCAGAGATTACAGAAATGGATGACCCAAGTGTGGAAGAGGAGCAGGCTTTCAGAGCAACACAAGAAGCAGCTATACTTCCAGATGAGGAAAATGAAGAAACTGAGGAAGAAGAAGATGAAGAAGATTATGACTAATATAAATTTAGTCCAATCTTATGTGAGACTGATACCTGCATACCCTTTTTGTGCAACTTAATGTATATTAAAAGATACATGCGTAATATATAAAATTGTATAAAGACGGAAGCATTTGTGCAAAATATCATTCCTTTAAAATTTGAATTTGGGAATTTCCCATGTGGAAATATTAATAAGAGTTTAAGAATAATGCTCAACAAAATTTTAGAAGTAAAACATGTTCTTACATCATTTTTCCAATTGCTACAGATACATGCTATATCCTTTTAAAACAAAATATCTTGTTAAACTTTTAATATGAAGCATTTTAATATGAAGCATTTCAAGTACTATTTGACAAGATTTTTTTTTATTAGTGAAACACCATGAGGTACAGTTATAGACTTACAAATTTTTGTGCTTGGGTTTCAGTTATACAATGATCAAGTACCCATCCCTCCACCAGTGCCCATCCTCCACCACCACGGGTCCCAGCCTCTTAATAACTGAATATAATAGTAATAATGATAGTAATAACTGAATATAATCTTTATGAAGGAAAGATTTAATTCACTATTCAAATGTGACCTTAATCATTTATTATGTCTGTTCATTTACTCATCTTTCTGCTAGGGAGAGTTATAGTTACATCATCTTCTTGAAGATAGCGGAACATCAAATTTTTAACTCTTTTTCACATGTTATTTTACTTTGGGTACTTGATCATTGTAGAACTGAAACCCAAGCACAAAAATTTGTAAGTCTCCAACTGTACCTCATGGTGTTTCACTAATAAAAATTTTTAAAAATTGTGGTATTTATACACAATGTGATTCTACTTAGCTGAAAGAAATGATGAAATCATGAAATCTGCTGCTTTATGGATGGAACTAGAGTGTATGAATGAAGTCACAAGGAGAGAGAAAGAGACAGAAAGATTTCTCTCATATACGGGATATAAAAAATAATAGGCTTACACATATTTTGCATGTGGGAGGTCCATCTTCAAATGCTTCTTCAAGCACATCATAGTCCCCTGAGTACCAATGAGAATGACTCTCAAGTATAGTTAGAAGCATCCCTTAAATACTGTGCAAAAAGTTATTTTTCTTAAAAATTAAAAAAAATCATATATATTAATAGTGAATTGAGTGAATTCCTATATGAAGTGACCTCAGACTGATGAACTTTTTGTCAATATCTATCTTTTCATGCACTCATAGTTCTCTGTATTTATTTACTATTAATGGTAGGCTGCAAAGAACTAATTTGCATCGGGGAAATCATGTCGTTAAAGAAATTCAAATGAACCTTTTGCCAAGAACCTGTGGGAAGGTGCATGAGGTATAGTTATTTGTTCATAACACCTGCCACATCATTAGCAATCTCACTCGGTTTATTGTTAACTGAATAAATTAATAAAAAATAAAAATAGTAACAGGAAAAGCTCAAATATTTGTGGTAAAATGGCACATTTTCACTTATTCTTTGAAATTCCCTTTAATGTATGTTCAGATCTACACATTCTTTTTCTGGGCAGATAGCAATTCCTGAAAGTTTTATTGTCAAGTGTTTTAGAGACCACCTACATCATGTATTTTTAATTAAAAAAATTTTTTTGGTAGCTCCCTTCTGGCGCAGCTGGTAGCCCTCCCGCCCCCCTCCCCTGCCCTGGCACTTTCATTATCCTTTTAAACCAAAGTTTGCAGTGTCTATTGGTGACCAAGACCCCCTCTCTCCCCTCACCCCACCTGAGTACCTGGCTGCCTCTCTCCCCTCTTCGGCTCCTACCCAAGTCAGGGGGAGGGCAGATCGCAGAGAAGAGAAGGCAGAGAGGCACCCGAGGAGTAGAGGGGGCTCTGATCCCCTCTGACAGTGGGTACTAGAGTGTTGCTGTACAACTCGACTTTTTCCTGGGGCATGCTCAGACCCCCTTTCTAGGACTCAGTCCCCCTTTGTGTTGGGTGTGTGGTTTCCAGAGAAAGAACTGGGGACAGGAGGAAGGAGCCTCCACAGATCTTCTATGGGGAACCCCTACCCAAAACCAAGTACTGGGAGTTGAGGTACTCACAACTCTCCAGGTCAGGTCACTTTGCTAAGAAGACCCCTTGGACGACTTCCCAATAGACTCCCCACATACATACCCTTCACAAGTCACTCCTCATTAGAGAGGGCTCTCCGTTTCCTCCCACTGTACTCCCCACCTATGTTCCAGTTTGACCAGCACAGAAATATTAAAAGTCCTACACTCACTGGAAAAAAAAAGTCCTCTTTGAATTTACTTGTTGTTGTTGGTGGTGGATTCTTTTGCTATGTGGGTTTGTGGGTTTTTGCATGTGGGTTTTCCCAGCATCATTCTTTGAAGTTACTTAATAGATACACTTTGTACCCTTTGCTCACTTGTTGAAGATTAGCTGTCCAAATACCTTGGGTCTGTTTCTAGGATCCCAATTTGATCCATTGTTTGAAGAGTTTTTTTTAATTAAAATACCACAACTTTCTTGATTACTATGCTTTAGAATATAATTGAAAGTTGGAAATAAGAAAGCCTCCCATCTTCTATACAGAATGCTTTTCTTTTGAGGACAGAACTACAATGTCATATGATTTTTCACTTTATTTTCTCTGTCACAGTCCTCCCGTTGTTCATCGATTTGCTCGAGTGGGCCCAGTAACGTCTCCATTGGAGACTTTGTTGTTACTGTGTTTGGCATATCAAATACATCACGGGTAGCTTTCCAGGCTCTGCCGTGCGGGCGAGATACTCTCGGTAGCTTGCCGGGCTCTCCGAGAGGGGCGGAGGAATTGAACTCGGGTTGGCCATGTTGCCTGCGTGCAAGGCAAACGCCCTACCGCTGTGCTATCGCTCCAGCCCTTATTTTCTCTATGCCTCTAAAATATGTCATGTGTATTTTTATATAAGGGACTACATTGAAACTGTTTAATTCTTTGGGTAGTATTGTCATTTTGACAATATTAATAATTCCAACCATGAACAGGTGGTTTGTTTCCATTTTCTGGTGTCCTCTTCTATTTTATATAGTAGTGATTTATAGTTTCTTTTGTATAATTATTTTACCTCTTTTGTTAAGCTGATGTCCAGGTGCTTTTTTATTCTGGAGGCACAAAAGTGAATGAATTTTTTAAAATTTCTGTCTTCCATTTATTGCATGAATATAGAAATATCATCGATTTCTGTAAACTGATTTTGTAGTCTTCCACTTTACTGTACACGTTTATTGTTTCTAGAAAATATTTTAAGGTTTTCTAGCGTAGTGTCATCTCATCTGCAATTACACTCCATGCCTCTGTCCAGACTCCATCATCTCAGGACCAAGCCTCATAGGGAACTGAACCTGCCAAAAGTTCAGGTACATAGGGTTTCTGTGACTGAAAAATCCCATCGAAGTCAAGATGGGCCAACTCTCACCATCTCCCTGTGTTTCCAGAAACCCTAGCAATCACATCCACACCCCAAAGCCGCTACCCAGTTAACAATTTAACTCCATGAATGGCCACAATTTATGGGACATAAAGGAGAAGGTAAACAATATCTATTAAGAAAATATTAAAATACAAGGTTCAACCTATTGTTAGTAATCCCTTATATAAGGGCTTAATGGCTTCAGGGTGAGATATAACAATCTTAACATATTTTCTTCTAAAGAAATCTTTTTTGACCATTTTAGCAAATTATTCATTAACAGGTAATATTAAAGAAATTATTTAGGGCCTGCTATTGGGGTAGGCTTGTGTGGTGGTTGGGAAAATTGGAAGTAATGGTGGTGGGAAAGTGCAATGGTGGTGGGATTGGTGCTGGAATATAGAACGTAATAAATCATCATGAACAACTTTAGAAAATTTTTTTAATGTAGGAGTACTGCTATTTATTCAGCCACTAATTAGGCTGATTGAATTATGCATGAAATCCACCTTATTTTTACCCCCATTTTTTTATATTTTTATTTATTTAATAAAAAATAAGCGATAGCACAGCGGGTAGGGCGTTTGCCTTACAAGCGGCCAACATGGCCGACCCAAGTTCAATTCCTCCGCCCCTCTCGGAGAGCCTGGCAAGCTACCGAGAGTATTTGATATGCCAAACACAGTGACAACAAAGTCTCCAATGGAGACGTTACTGGGCCCGCTCGAGCAAATCGACGATCAACGGGAGGGCCTTTACCTTTACCTTTACCTTTATTGAATCACTGTGAGAGCAATTACAAAGCTTTTGGGTTTAAGTCTCGGTCATACAATGAAACATCCGTACCTTCACCATTGTCCATTCTCCACCACCAAAACCCCCAGTATACCCCCCATCCCTCACCCTCCCCCTACCTGTGGGGCAGATGATTTCCAAATCACTTTCTCTATACTTTGATCACATCCAACATTTCGACACCACACCCACCATCATTATTTGGGATTTTACCCCAACACTCAGATCTGCCAAAAAGGCAACAGTAGACAATTTGTTTCTATTGCTGGTCATGAATAATATATGATGTTGAATGGTTGCAGTAGTGGCTGTGCAATTTTGAAATTCCAAAATTTTAACAATTGAATTAGGAGAGATTTCCTGCCCAAACCTGCTAGGTTCAGAGATCTGTTCCTGAGTCTCTGGGATCATGGCCATTAAGCAGCTTGATCAGGAGCCAGAGAGGCCATTCGTGGGTGGCGACTCGTGGTCTCCTTGGGGTAGGGAGGAAAGGGCCGGCTCTACCCCCATCCCGTGAGGCCCCACGTGTCTCGTCACTGCGGGCCCAAACCTCACTGTCCAATGACCTCTTAAAGATGGTGGCCACCAGGCCGCCAAGGGGAAGCAGGCGGAGGGACAGCACCCTTTTCCCCCTGGGGCGGCCTGGAGACAGTAACCTACTGTGCGGTCCAGACGGACTTCTGCCAAAAGCCACTGGGTTTCGAGATTTGTTTCTGAGTCTCTGGGATCATGGCTGTTAGGCAGCTTGATCAGGAGCCAGAGAGGCCGTTCGTGGGCGGTGACTCAGGGTCTCGTTGGTACGGGGAGAAAAGAGCCGCTCCACCCCCATCCTTTGAGGCCCCACATATCTCATCAATGTGGGCCCTAACCTGACTGTCCAGTGGCCTCTGGAGGATGACGGCCACCGAGCCAGCAGGGGGAA